CGCTTTGTATAATATGACGGTGTTTCAAAAGATTTTTCAGTTTTTACGAGTCTTCTTCAAACTCATAAATACTTATTCAATTTAGTCGTAAGAAGTGCCACTTGAATCAGAGTACTTTTGCCAACGTAACACAAATCGATTAATTTCGTCAACATAAAAAATTCGTGCTGGGGTTTCGATGAAGTCGTGGCAAACCGTTTATGCCTGATCCTCATTGGCGAAAGTTCTACTAGTGGAAAAGTTATGGAAGTGCTTAAAAAGATGGAAGTCGGTTGGCGAGAGGTCTGAACTTCAACGCTCAATTCGTTTAATTTTCGGACGCTCATCTGTGAAACCTGCTGATTGGCGTTCTCGTACAGCAGAATCGGAACTCTTTTGTTGACCAGTGCCAGTCACTGCTGACTTATTCAGATGCTGTCTCAACCCGATAGCGAGTGGATCTGATTATTCACTTGACATCCTGAAATAATTAGGAAAATTGTCTTCGTTCATTCATAGCTTAGAAATCTTCAAATTCTCAGCAAAAAGTCATGGGAGTTGCTCTCGATGAACTGTAGCTCTCCTCCTTCATTTTTATATTGTTTTGCCCATATAGGATCGACATGGCTCAAACCTCACCATTCTTATACTTTCCAGGTTACCTAACTTGTGTTTTGACACGAAACATAAAACATTTTATGAACCGTATCGGAAGCGTATATGTGTGAAACGGGGTTCAGGACAAAAGAGAAATGACTCAGTATGAACGATAAGTTTCAACAGGAACAGCCTGAAAGAGGATAATTTTACGAATGTTTCTGAAATTTCTGTACTTTCCAAACGTCACAAGTTTCACAGAACTTTCCAAGTTATTAAATTCACCTCTTTGTTCAAGTATTTAAAATATCAATTTTAAATGTGTTACTTGATAAGATAAATTGATTGATGGGTTCACTTTAGGTATAATGAAGATAATATACTCTTTTTCTTTCCAACCTAAAGAAAAGTCTAGCCGATCAACAAAACTGAAATGTTCACTATGTACTAATAACATATGAAAAACAAACATTTACACATGCTACTCTGGTCAAAAATTAAGGTGAATTTTCCAGTGACGGCTCGTGTATTGGAGAACAGGGGAGGCTTAAGTCATATAGACTATATACACACAGAAAAGCCCGCCGGAGGCGCGAAAATTTTTATGTTGTGGCACGCTTTGCCTAATACTAAAGTTTGGGCATGGGCATGACAATGCGTAAAAAGTGAATTAGGAGCTATGGACTTTATTTTAGTTTGTAAACAATTAAAATGGCCGGCCATGACCGCAGCCCCATCATAGGTTTGCGCAATTAACTTTTGCCTAAAATTATAGGTGTCACACGTACGAATTAAAAAATTAAACAAATCGTCAGCTGTGCGTCCAGATGAAACATCATGAAAACCCATAAAACGTTCTACCACATTACTATCTTTGACATATCTAAAAACGATTGAACGTTGTGATGTACAGGTAATATCGGTAGATTCATCAATTTCACATGCAAAAAAAGAAACACTTTGAATCTCCTTGCTTATATTTTCCTTATTAATGTATGCCACACTGTCTATAATAAGCTCATTTTGGATGGTTTTCGAGGTGCCCGAAAAAACGCTACCGTTTAAAAAAGTGCAAAATTGTGAATCATATTTGCTCCATAACACGAGGTAAATTGTTTAAATCGGAGTATCCTATTTTAGACCACGTTTGGTATTAGGTTTGTACGGAAAATAAAACACAGGGCCAACAAAAAAGTTTTTCTCGTTTAATGGAGCCGGTTAACCAATCGCATTTATCATACCAACTAATATTAAATCCACGATTTTGTCGATTATCTGACGATTTAATTGAAATCAAATTTGGTTGAGGCCTTCCCAGAGTTTTAATAATGTAAAAGTCATTATCATGAGATAAATACTTATCAAGAAACACTAAAACGATTTACCGGAATATTTTTTAGTCCCGGTCCGTCACGGTATCCCGTCCGAATAATTAAATAAAAAACAAACGCATTCGTACACTAACGGAGATCAACTGGAGGCTAGTTCCTCTGACGCTATAATTTCTGCAACTGAAATTACAAATTGGGACGTATGTCGCTGGTTGGATCGATCTCGTGAAGCCTGTGTTTTTTAAAGCGGTCGGAGGCTTGGCTCCCTTGCAACGTATGGCATTTATTATTTCGGGTTGATAGTTTATTCGTTCATGGGCGGTGCGTTTGAGTTTTGTTGATGCAGGATACAGTGTTTTTTCGGGCATATTATGTATTTAAATTAAAAATTCATGGTAAAGTAATGATACCCAAGCATTTTTAGAAAAAAAAATAATCATAATTATTTGTCAATATCTTTTAATTCATTGCGATGAATAGCCTCAAATTGTATGGGGAGGCTAAGCTACCCTTGCCTCCTCTGACGAGCCGCCGCTGGAATTTTAATTTTCTCAAAAAAATATGAATTAAATATTTTTTTTTATGCACTGATTGGAACCTTCGGTGTAGTAATGCATATTACTGGAGTTTTTTCTTGACACCGAACCGTTATTTCAACACCTCGATCACCAAGTGATCCTCTTCAAGAGGAAGATCAAACTAAACATACTTACAATGTTATCCTTATTCATACCATAGATATTTTTTCTAGATACTTGAGTCTTGAGGGTCTCAAATTAATTTCACAATATTGCCTCATCTAATAGTCTTAAATTGATGTAACAATGTGTCCTTATGTGATAGTCAGGTAAATCTAATAATTCAAATATTATTTTAACAAGTTATATAGTATACTATTAGATATTGGTCCACCATCGTTATTCTGGTGTCTGGTATTTGTAGATTAGGGAGGGTGACTTTAGACTCATAGCATCCATTGTTCATCCTCTCGAGGAGTTGTCCTCCTAGGTCATCATCCATCCTGTCCTTTCCAGAAAGGTGACGTGACTTCCATCTCCTTTATATTGGCAGGTGTAGGCCAAGACTCGCCGAACACACACTCTCTTTGGCAACCTTGAGGTGTTTTACGGTGGCCTCCGCAAAGGTTTTGGAAGGTGCAGCGATATGACTGTCGTTGTTCGGCTTCTTCAACCTTCTTGGGGTTCCCTCCGTGGTGGTGCACAAGTGAGGGAGCTTTCCTGCAGGGGCAGCCGATTCCTTGCCTTTATTCAAGGTGAAGCTCTTGGCGTTCCCCGCAGGGAGTGCCCTTGCTGTTGGAGGTGATCTGCTATGTCCAGCCTCATTCCCAGCGGTAGATTGGGGAGGTCATTTCTGTTCATCCCCAGCCACCGCCTTAGATTGAGGTGAGCACTTCTGTCAAGCCTCGGTATTGGTTTTTGTTTTTGCTGTTTCTGTTTTTATGTTGTTTCATTCATGTGTGTTCCTACGAGTAGTAAGGGAAGAGTTGGTCTCCTCTGGCAGAGCCCCGCATTACCAGAGGTAAACTGATTACAATGAGGTTCCGCCCAGTTCCCCAAGGGGATCGTTTGTCACCGCATATTACCCTGCGGCCATTCAGCTGTCGGCAGGACAGGCATGTTTTGCAAAGGCTTTTGGGAGGTTTTAGTTCCCCTCACCCTACTTATTTCTGCCACTGACCAGGAGTCCGGCGACCCCGTCCGTAGGACCTAATTGGCTTCCCGGACAGGGCCTCCAGTCCCCAGGCCGTTCCCCATTCCGCCACCTGGGGATGTGCCCGATAGGTAGCTCAACCTACGGTCACCATCTTTATTAATAATATTATTATGTTTACTTATTTCTACACTCTCATACACTGTTTTTGTTAACTTTTCAAACTAATCTTAATGAACTAAAATCTATGGAATGGTTTTGTTGCAAAATATAAAGGGCGACTGCTGATTTTTCAAGTCTTTGAGTGTGCTTCCACTTAGTACACTTAAAATATGAAAGACTTGAAAAATCAACAGTCGCCCATCATATTTTGCAACATCATAGACTTAAGTTCATTAAGATTAGTTAGATAACTTAACAACAACAGGCATCTAGAGAGTGTGGAAATGCATGAAACACGTGTCGCGATTTTCACCTTTCAGCGGAAATGTCAAAATGAACTGTATCAATCATATTTATATCATTATTTTACGTACAGTAAATAAATAGGCGTAAATAAATTATTCTTTAGATTTTTCTGATATCTTTTAATTTTTTCTCAACGTGGCAACGCCGCCCGGCAGTGGGAGGCGCTAAAGCGTTTCTACAGATTCGTGATCGCACTTTTTCGTCAGTGCAATCGCTCGTTTTCCAACATATCAGACCGACTGACATCGAACAGTTGCAAGCGTAGCTAATAACACAATTCACTCAAAGGTTGCCAGTGTGCTGAGAAAAGAGTTTCCCATTTGTCCAATATCAATTAACGTGCTGTTTCTGTTGAATTAGTGACTTCTGTCATTGAAGATTTGTGAGAATACCAAAAGAACTCGGTAAGTCTGTTTGCGGTGGTGCCAAGTACTTGTCACATTCTTTGATCTTTTTTATATGCAATAAGTAGGTTGCTATGTTGAGTTTAGATATCGACGGTTTATTGACGTTTTCTCTTTCTCTGTGCAAAGTAAACAAAAATCATATGTTATCAATGAAACGACTGCTGTTAAGCAGGTGAAAGAGTTGAATGAGCTCGCTTTGCAGGGAATTAGGTCGTTTGCAGGCAGAAATTGATTGTTTTGTTTGAATTTGGACGTTGTTGAATCCGAATAATCAATCAGTCTGTATATAAAACCGATGGTTCTGTTAGCAAAACAAACGTCAGAAATGTGATGAAAACATCAACTGATATTTCTCATGATTGCTTTGATGATGAAATGAAGTAACATTATAACCCCATCGTGATATATTGCTCGAGATAAACACATCTCCGTTTTTTATTATATCTGCTGAATTTGAATGGAAACGAACCACAACACAAAGGCTTGCATTGCTTATTTTTTAGACTTTCTAGGGCCTTAGAAGAGGTTTCCAAAACCTTGACAAGTGACTTGAGCAGGTTCTTAGATGGAGGTAATTATATATTTTTACACTGCACGACTGACTCGTTTACTTTCGCAGACACGGGACTTGGAAAGTCCAATGGGTTGTTTTTATTAACTGATTTGTTAATGTAATTAAACTTACCACACATAACCTCCACATTGTTGTTTATTTTCTTTGCATGAATTTAGGTTATAGTGTGACCTCTTTTGAAGACTTAACTTTGGCCGAAACAGGTACAAATACCTGAAAATGTATCGTGGTGGTTGAAAACCATGAACAATGCAGAGCATCCAAAGGGTATTAACATTTATTGAGAATAAATAATAATAATTGTAATGTTTATTTTCAACAATTAACAACATTAAAAAAAGGTTACTCGACTCATTGAAAATAAATGGCAGTTTCCTCAGAGATGAATCTTTGATGGACCTGTTCTTCCACTTATAAACCGTCTTCACGAATTCCAAGAAAGCGTTTACACATTTTAACAATTCATATTTATCAAAATTGTGGTCAAAAGAAAAAAAAAGTTATTGACTACCTGTAAGCAAGATAGTCTTATATTCTGTTTTGAATTGATTTGCTCTTAGTATGTTGAGATGAGGGAATTAATATTTAATAATGAACATTTTTTTTGGCGTTGAATCGAAATTATAAATAATAGAGACAGAATTTCGAAAGTTGCTACTTTTTTTGTAAATTTCCTTCTCTTTAAGGGATCTTTTTTTAAAATTTCCCAATTCTTCATAGTTTCTGAAATTTTTGCAAAACTCTAAATACATCTTTTAACATTTTAACTTGTTTATAACTTTTCCATTTTCTTATGTGCTGAAAAACGGTTTTAGCCATCGCACATATTTTTCCGACCTTTATCCCTATTTTTCACCATTTTCCACTTGCCAACTAGACTATATTTCCGAAAGGCAAGTTTCCGCCTAGGAAGCGGAAATTCAAGACCAATCACGACGTCATCAGAGCTGTGGCAAAATAATAGTTTTGAAAGTAAATATTTTTATCGTAGATCATTTCTATCACTACTTTTCGATCGGCCCCTGTATTTTCTGGGTCAAGTAGGGGTCGTTTTTTCAACGTGGCAACATGGTCCACGACCTCCGTTCAAAATTGACATTTATACAATATTAGCGGGTAACGGTGAAACAAAGTGGAATGGGAGTGTAAAAAGAGAGAGAAGTGAATGAGAGCCTCCAAGAGAATATTTTGAGTTGTTGGGAGCAAAGAGATACATTTTGAGTTGCAGCATAGACGTTGGTAGCTAGTTGGAAAGGCTGCAAGGTGGGAAAGACATTTTTACACGTTTTACTTTTTATTGTTTTCGAAGTTGTGTAATGAAAACTGCATAAGGAACTATAGTAGTATAGTTTGACTGATTTCTTGATGTCACGTAATATAATGAGCAAACAAACAATATCTATAGAAGAGAGACAATTCCCAATACCTTTTTTGATGTTCCAGAATATCAAGGTTGCAAGTATAGCTCTTTTCTAGATGGAATTCAGTAGCGTCAGTGTATGCTTAGGGGCGGAGCTCCATACATGAGAACCATACTCCAAAGAAGGTCTGACCTGAGTTTCATAAAGCATTAAAAGTTGCTGAGGTGTGTACAGTTTTCTGGTTCGGAACAGTGATCCAAGATTTTAAGAAGCAGCCTTTGCAATTCCACTAACAAACTTATCTGTCCTGACATTATTATATCCGGTTCGGAGACATTTTTGACATTCTGAAGAAAGAATACAACAACTACAGAAACAAGCTAATAACATCTTTGATCAAAAAAGCTTTGATCAACTATTATAAAAAACAAATCGACAAATATCATAATAATTCAAAAATGCTATGGGACGTCACTCAACAAATATCTAAGACAAAAACAAAATTGTTATAGATGAAATAAAACATCCCACAAACAATAAAATCGGTACCAATAAAACGCTAATTGCAAATACACACATCGGAAAAGTCTAGGGATATTTTTAAAAATGGCAATAATTTTTTTAAGTCGCTTTAGGGAAAAAAAAGTTGACGGGTGATTATTAAACGAATGTAACTTACAACAAAATTTATTAAATGGTCAAAAATACTGAGTGCGCATATAAGCAAAACTAAAAAAAATATGGCTCTTCTTTGGCACCCCGAAAAAAAATCATAATATAAAAAAAATTGGAATTAGTACAAAGTATGGCCTCCACGCTGGTTTATTACGGCCCTACATCTATCGTGCATCGACAAAATGAGATTGACAATGTCTTGTTGAGGTACATTTGCCCATTCAGCGATTAAAAGCTCTCTCAATTGAAACGTTGTGTGAATGTTCCCCATATGCGGAGTAATTCTTCGTTGAAGCATGTCCCACACATGCTCGATGGGATTCAGGTCCGGTGATTGTGCTGGCCATGGCAATACATCAACTCCTTCGTTGGTGATCCAGTCAGTCACTAGACGCGCGACATGTGGACGAGCATTATCGTGCATTAGGTGGAAGTTTTCACCAACAGCACCAGCAAACGGACGGACGATAGGTAGAAGAACGGTGTCAAGGTACTGTCGAGCTGTGAGGGAGCGATTTGGAAAAACGAGATCGGTTCTGCCGCCGATCATGATTCCGCCCCATAGCATTACTGTACCACCGCTGTATGTGTGGACTTCCTGGACGTGTCTCAAACGTTCATTATTTTCAGGTCGTCTCCACAGTCTTACTCGACGAGAATCTGGATGAAATCTAAATCTGGATTCGTCTGTAAAAAAACTGTGGCCCAATCATTTGCATCCCAGTTTTGATGTTCTTGACACCACTCTAATCTTCTACCGCGATTGTCTCTCGACAAAGGTGGACATCTAAGTGGCCTTCTGTTGTGGAGATCTGCTTCATGCAGTCGATTTCTGACAGTATCACGACCAATGGTTACCTGGTGCGTCTGCTGCAACACGTTAACCAACTCAGGTGCTGTAATTGTCGGTTGTCTTCTTGCGGTTAAGACCAAAAATCGGTCTTGAACTGCAGTTGTAGCACGTCCTCGCCCTGGATGTTGTTCGGCTGGACTGCCAGTTTCACGGAAACGCCGCCACAATCGACTGATAACACTTTGGGAGACCCCCAAACGAAGAGCTACATCATTTTGTCGCATGCCACCTTGAAGAAGCTCTATTGCTCTATTCATCTCAGCCAATGGTAAGTGATGGCGTTCCATGTTAAAGCACAATATTTCCAGTTTAATTGCTGAGCAAGAACTGCATAGAATGTACAAAGTCGACACTTTCAGATTATTCATTTTACCATCTTCGTATCTCTCATAGTTTCCGAGATCCCAATGGTGAGGATCAAATTTGAAACACCCTGTATATTGGATTGACTGCTATTAATTTTACTACTGTTTTGTAGTTCATAGCTACTATCGAATTCAAGGTGATATACAGAGGAAGTAAGATGAAACCTTAGAAATATTTAACAAACGCCTTCTTGTCGATGATATCAAAATTCAACGTGACGTCAATGCGATATCGAATATTTATGATCGATTGTGTTACTGAAATGAAGGAGATCGTATCAGATCACGAATTTTTTGCGCGTATCAATTCCAATTACTGGTTTTATGTGAAATAATTAGCTTTCCCAGAACTGTTTCGAACCTCATGTTGTTTTAATTTGTGTGTGGTATACTAAAAAATAATTAGTTTTTCATGTATCGTTTCTAATTGAGTCTTATTCTTTTCAGATTCTTCAACAATGTCTCTTGCCAGCGTACAACGTCCAAAACTGGTTGTCAGTTTGAGGTGAGTGATAATGATAAATTATATGAATCAATCAACAATATACAGTGTGTAACAACGAAAGCTTAACAGAGCCGTTTTTTGAATATAAAAAGTAAGATTTTTAAAAAAAGCTCGGACACGTCGATTTCTAATTGAAGGGGGACACCTTTCAGACTAATCAGATTTTTTGTAGTACGCACCCCCTTGGAGGGGTGCGTCCGACGACCCTTATTTAGATAGGGAAAGTAGGTCGAGTGGCACCTTGTTTTAAAGGTCTTTCGAATACCTTCACAACTCTGTTAAAATAAAATTTTTGTAACGATTAGTTTTCGAGATAATTTGAAGATTTAAAGATATTTTCATTGAGTTCAACTCTTTTTAAAATAAATCAAATTGTTTTTAAGGTACATTTTACGTTCAGAACTTTTATAAAAAAAATAAATTTTTGCTTTTTATGACAACCTGCTAATACGTGTCCATTTGATTTCGTAAAAAAGTAAAAATTATTTGTTTATTACGAGGAGATTTTTTCGGGGGATGGGGTTGGTTAACACCCTTACATTTTAGGTAAATTGAGTGGCACCTCCTTATGAAGGTTGCCTTTTGACGTGGATATTTTATGCTTCTGATAAAAAAGTGAATCACACTAAAAACTTACCTACACAACGAATACAACCTGCTGATTTCCTTGAATTCTGATGACACATAAAAGTTTAAAAAACTGTTAGGGTTAATAAATCCCAATAATTGTTTTTAAAGCACACACAAAAAAAGTAACATCTAATAAGGGTAACTCACTCACATAGGAAATTTACAGTAAATGTTCAAAATGTGCGCCATTTTGCTCCATGCAACAATAAAGATTTTGTTCGAATTTTGCTCTACATTATTCAACATAGAGCCGAGTTATAGCTCGGCATTCATCAATAATTCTACGACGTAATTCATCCAAATTGGCTGGCGGTGTAGCATAAACTTCAGACCTCAAATATCCCCACAAAAAGTAGTCCAGTGGTGTTAAATCTGGTGATAGTGCTGGCCATTCAATTGAACCTCTTCTGCTAATCCATTGTCCTTCAAAATGATTATTCAAAAAATTTCGAACCTGCTGGGCATAATGGGGTGGTGCGCCGTCTTGTTGAAAATGGATAAATTCATCTTGATATCTTGGATACTGTTCAATTATTTCAAATATACGAGGTTGTATTGCCTCTTCAAGAAGTTGTAAATAGAAATCACCGGTTAAATTTCCATCAATGAAAAATGGCCCTATAATAGGATTGCGTAATATTCCGGCCCAGACATTCAACTTTTGGGGATGTATTTCTGCGTATTGTCTGGGGTTTTCATCCGACCAATAACGGCAATTGTGATGGTTCACGCAACCATTTACATTAAATGAGCTTTCGTCCGAAATACCGATGTTAATCGGTATTTCGGACGAATAACAAAGTCTGTAATGTTTCTTTGATGTTTTTTAATAACAAACTCACCACAAATATAACAAAAACTGTCAGCAGAGTTCTTGAAACCGCTATTAGACATTTTGATGAGCACATGTACTGGAAACCAGAAAGTGAGGTTAGGTTGACACTGTTGACAGTAAACAAAACATCTGTGAACAGAACAATATAATTTCTTTTTTTCTGGACAGTAAGTGTGTTTAAGCAGTGCTGCCAACTCGTCTACATCCAGCACAAATTAGTTTACAATTTTATTTGTAGTATAAAAGCTGTTAAATTCTGTAATAAATCAAAAAATTTAATATATTGATGTGCAAATGTGAAAAAATGGTAGGCTTAATAAGTGTCGTATTTGGATTTAGCACCCTAGAAAACAGAATAATAAGGTGTTTTGAATAAAAAAGTTTTTTCATCGTTGGCCTGTGTGTTTGGAAAGAGCGGTCAACATACATATTTGTCGATATTGGAGTCATCATTGACTCGATTTGAAATTATCAGGATTTTTTTTTAATTCAAACGCTGAATCAACTCTTTCAGATAAAAACAATACTGATAAAATTGAGTCATACGTCTGTTATCAACAGAACGTAGCTGACTCTTCAAGATCATTTTTCTGTGAGACTATCTGATGACTGAACAGTAGACCAGGTGATGTTGAAGGTTTGAGAAGGAAACTATAAGATACGGAAATTTTCCAAATTACTTCGGAAAAGTGTCGGTAAAACAGGAATTAAATTTATCCATCTCCTGTGTACCGCATTATATAAATGTAATAAATTACCAATTACCACAATTATCCGAAATTTTAAATTATTATTGCGGCCTCAATGTTCCATTCTGATTATTAAATAAATGAATATATTTATAATTAATTTATGTCTAAAGAAACATGAATATTATCTTTTTTTTTTAATTTTTATTCATACACAACAAGTTATTTTTGGTACAACAGGAAACTCGGGATCAAGACCTGCCGCCTATCAATCTTTGCAAAAACAACCAACAAAAATATCGCACTCGATTTCCATACGAAACAAAAGCTTATTGTATGATAATAATTATTATAAAAAAATGTCATTTTTTCGCTACGCTCCGAATGTTTATCTGTAACTAATGTTCGAGTTGTTCAACGTGTCTCGAAAAGGAAATTCTAATGGACCGTATTCGACCTTGGTGGTAATTGGTCTAGTCGAATTTCATGCCGATATCATGAACTTGAACAGCTATTTTTATTGTTGAATAGTCCGGGGCGTCCATAAAAAGAGGAATATACAAAAAAAGCATCAAATTGTGGTAACTTGCAGAATATTCTCAAGTTCTTTCTTGAATTTATCAATATTACTGGGTGAAGATGAATAATCTGTACCAGATATTATCATGGATTTCATTTTCAAAGATTTCCATGAAATTTCAGCTAGCAAATTAAATAATCTGTGCCAATTTTTGTCTTCTATACTCGTGTGTGCTTTGTTGAAACTATAAGATATTCATGATATACAACACTTCGTAGACAGTTCCCTGCCAAATTCATGATCAATGATATTCATGATATACAACACTTCGTAGACAGTTTCCTGCCAAATTCATGATCAATGAAAAATGTATCATTTTGTATTCCCTGAGAAAGTAACTATTGATCCTTACTGGTGTACACACACACAAAGTACACTGAGAAAAAAATCGCATTATTATGTTTTCATTTATCGACTTTGCACACCTACCGTTCTTCAATATGATACGCTTATTGACTGAATTAGTAAAAAAACAGAGCCGTCCTAGTTTATTAAACTGTCTGAAGGGGTGAAAATAAGGTGGAAATATTTAAAAAAATCGTAACATGAAAAATCGACTTTGTACACCTACAAAATTGAGATATGTTATTTCTGATGATCTATTCGGCTGAAACAACTTCACCCCCTCAGACGGCCTGGAAAACAGGAAGTTTTTTCAGCCGAATAGATCGTGATAGATGACATATCTCAAACTTGTAGGTGCACACATTCAATTTTCGAAGATAAGATTTTTTCAACTTCCACCCCATTTTCACTCCCTCAGACGACCTGGAAAACTATAACGTGAAGTTTTTCCCGTCAAATCGGGTATCAGGAATAACATATCTCAATCATGTAGGTGTACATATTGAAGTTTCAAATATATGATTTTTTTCAAGTTTCCACCCCATTTTCACCCCCCTCAGACGGCCTAAAAACTATAAGGTAAAGCTTTTTCTCGTCAAATCGGGTATCAGGAATAACATCTCAATCTTTTAGGTGTACAAAGTCAATTTTTGAATATATGATTTTTTCAAGTTTCCACCCCATTTTCACTCCTCAGACGGCCTGGAAAACTATAACGCGAAGTTTTTCTCGTCAAATCGGGTGTCAGGAATAACATACCTCAATCTTGTAGGTGTACAAATTCAATTTTCAAATATATGATTTTTTCAAGTTTCCACCCCATTTTCACCCCCTCAGATGACCTGGAAAACTATAACGTGAAGTTTTTCCCGTCAAATCGGGTATCAGGAATAACATCTCTTAATCTTATAGGTGTACAAACTCAATTTTTGAATAAATGATTTTTTCAAATTTCCACCCCATTTTCACCCCCTCAGACGACCTGGAAAACTATAACGTGAAGTTTTTTAATTCGAATAGATCATCAGGAATAACATATTTCAATTTTGTAGGTGTACAAACTCAATTTTTAAATATATGATTTTTTCAAGTTTCCACCCCATTTTCACCCCCTCAGGCTGCCTGGAAAAATATAATATGGAGTTTTTATCGTCAAATCGGGTGTCAGTAATAACATCTCCTAATCTTGTAGGTGTACAAATTCAATTTTCAAATATATGATTTTTTCAAGTTTCCACCCCATTTTCACCCCCTCAGACGGCCTGAAAAACTACAAGGTAAAGCTTTTTCTCGTCAAATCGGGTGTCAGTAATAACATCTCTTAACCTTGTAGGTGTACAAACTCAATTTTTGAATATATGATTTTTTCAAGTTTCCACCCCATTTTCACCTCCTCAGACGGCCTGGAAAACTATAACGTGAAGTTTTTTCAGTCAAATAGATCATCAGGAATAACATATCTCAATTTTGTTGGTGTACAAAGTCGATTTTTCATGTTGAGACATTTTTTTATATTTTCACCCCATTTTCACCCCCTCAAACGGCCTGGAAAACTATGAGGTGATGTTTTTTTCTGTCGAATAGATCGACATGGATAACATATCTCAAACTTCTTGGTGTACACATTCAATTTTCGAAGATACGATTTTTTCAACTTTCCACCCTATTTTCACCCCCTCAGACGGCCTGGAAAACTATAACGTGAACTTTTTTCAGTCGAATAGATCATCAGGAATAACATATTTCAATTTTGTAGGTATACAAAGTCGATTTTTCATGTTGAGACATTTTTTGATATTTTCACCCCATGTTCACCCCCTCAAACGGCCTGGAAAACTATGAAGTGATGTTTTTTTCAGTCGAATAGATCGACATGGATAACATATCTCAAACTTCTTGGTGTACACATTCAATTTTCGAA